AATAAATATCCATTTAGGCTACGTTGCTCAACCTGCTGTTGAGAAATTATTTTCATTATAATCTTTTTGACCAAGCTGATAAGCTTGTCAGTAAAGCAACGTTTCCCGAATCTGCAGGAAATAACCAACAGGCTCGTTACATGTATTATTTGGGTAAATCATATATGTTAATAATAACTCAATGAAGCTATAGTGCTTTAAAAAAAATAAAAACTAAAACATCATAATTTTACTTTTAGGCCGCATTAAGGCAATTCAGCTCGATTATACGGCTTCACATACTCATTTGAACCAAGCTATTCGCAAAGCACCTCAGAATACGGTTACAGCTGGGTTTCAACAGGCTGTAATGTATCAACTTAAATTATCCTTACTTGAGTGAATTTTTATGATCGAGTATTTATTTTTGAAAAATATTTCGCAATATTTATAGGTCTATAAATTGTCTATTATTGTTCACCTTCTCATGGGTGAGATTCCCGAGAGATCCATATTTAGACAGCCGGTTCTAAAAAAACCATTAGTTCCTTATTTACACATTGTTCAAGGTAAGATATGAATGAAAAAGCAAGTCTCATTCGTTCAAGGGATATTCACTTATTTCTTATATCCATCTTTAGCTGTACGTATTGGTGATTTATCGAATTTCCAAGAAGAGATAGCTAAATATGGGGATGTCTTTCGTAAAGATAAGAATTTTACTTTGATATTAAGGTAATATAAGTGTTGGTTAAAACTAGATTAGGATGTTATATTTAAATGCTGGTTTTTTTTTTTAGACTCCGACATAATGTAATTAAAACAGGTATTAGGATGATAAGTTTATCCTATTCCCGTATATCTTTACGTGATATTTGTTTAAAGTTACATCTTGATAGTGAAAAGGATGCCGAATATATTGTCTCTAAGGTACGGTGTTCTAGATATTATTTATTATTTTATCACATTTAATTTAATCTGTTAATGCTTTTAGGCTATTCGAGACGGTGTTATTGACGCAATTATAGATCATGAGAAAGGATTCATGAAATCCAAGGTAAATCGTTAGATATGATTTTTTTAGCTTTTAAGTTTTGATTCTTACCTTTTTTGTTTAACTACTTTTTAGGAAAATGTTGATCTTTATTCAACCAATGAACCCCAAAATGCTTTTAATGCTCGTATTACATTTTGTTTAAATCTTCATAATGAATCAGTAAAAGCCATGAGGTTTCCACTTAATGCTCATCGTAAAGAATTAGCTTCTGCTGAAGCACTTCGTGAAAGAGAGAGAGAACTTGCCAAAGAAATTGTTGATGGTGATATGGATGATGATGATGAAGGAGAATTCTAGAACAATCAATTTCTTATTTTTTTAAAATAAATCAATACAACTTATTGTATATAGAAAATGATGTAATCGCTTCTATTACTCAATATTATAAATTTATTATCATTATCTATTTTGCAGTAAAATTAGTATTATGATTTTTTTAGTCAATTTATATTATACTATTTTACAAATGATAAATATTGTAATTTTAAAACTTTTGATAGATAAGTTATATATTAAACAAAGAATTGGATTCTAATTGCAATATATTATTATCTAAGTCAAGATGTTTGTTAATTTAGTATATTAATAAAATAATGTTTATAGTCACCTAAATGATAAAAATAAAACTTAAAAAATTATATTAGTAATAAAAAATCTTTAAAATATTAAAATTTATAAAAATGATTAAAACTTTATTAAATAATTTACAAATCTAAAATTTCTAATATTTTTAACATTAATCTTTCTTTTAATAGTTTAATAATAATTAATATATATCAATCCCTTTGGTTTTCTTTAATTATATTTTATTTTCTTTATATTTTATTTTATTTGGTTTTATTTTATTTTAATACTTATTAATAAATTTATAATTAAACAAAATACTTAAAATCTTACTAACTTTATAATTAATTAAACTTATAATTGATAAATAATAAAATTAATATTATTTTAAATTAATTGTTAAAGAATCATTATTTGATTATTATATCTAATTAGTATTTTGATTTATAACTTATAATCTGAATATCTAAACAAATAAGCAAATATTTAAAAATGAATATTTATAATCATAAATAAGATTTTACAAATTCATAGATATTTACTAAATTTATATTATTTTTATTAAGAATCATATAATTCTATAATTAATCATTTTTAATTTATTATCTTATATATAATAATATATAAATCTATATCAAAAAATTTTTTTATTTTTGATATTACATAAAAATTACTATTATATATATTATTAGATTAATATTTTTTATGTTAAAATTTATTAAATATTAATAAAAATAATATTAAAAAAAATAGTTTTAAAATAGATAATCAAAAAATTGATAAAATATAAATAATAACCTCTATTTTAATATTATTGCAATTTTGAATATTAATATTTTCAATATTAATTTATAGAATTTTTGATGAAACATTTGTTATATTTAAATTTTTTTTTATTTTAAATGAATATTATTATTGTTGAAATAATTAAGAAGTAGTAATAAAACCTAAAAATATATAATTTTTAGATTAGAAGTAAAAAATAAGTATAGCATATTATGATACCTTGATTTTTAAATGTATTTTCCATTAAAGTATTTTATTATTTTGTAGGAAATTTTTAGAAGAAATTTCAATAAGATCATCCATATTTTTTTGTAAAATAAAAAATATAACTTTATTTTTTTTTTTATTAAATAGTTGAAGTTAAATATAAAGAAATGTAGCAATCTATATCCTATAATATTCATTTATTCTACATGAAATATATCAAATAATATCTATAAAAAAATTTCAGTTAAACATATTGAATGATTAATAAGATTTCATCTTTTTGTATCAATTTTATATTTAATAATAATATTTTGAAGTATATTATCATGAGAATGTTTTTCAAATGCAGAATCATAGAATTAATTATCATGATAAATTTTTTATAAAATAATTATTTAATTGATCTGCAAAAATATAATTATGTCTATTAACATTATATGGATTTTCTGCACCTCCTGTATTATTTTTTTCACAAAGTATATTTACTTTAATATTACAATCTTCATTGATAATAATATAGGAATTTTTAATTATCATTATATAGATTACAAAGAAGTATAAACTAAAACTAGACATGATATATAAAACCTTTTGGTGTCTTAGTTTACATATTTGGTAATTAAAAATAGTTTCAATTTTTCATATTTCAAATGCATTAGTTTTTTATAAGATATATCTTGATTATCTTGAATTTGTTTAATTTGATCATCAAAAATTATATGAAACTATTTCTATTTATATTTATCATTAATATAAATAAGTCTGATAAAAAATTTCAGATAATTCTTTAGCAATTACATCAAAACTTATATGTAATAAAGAAGATGCATATTATTATTTTTCAAATTTTCTAATATTATA